GCTTCGCCCCGCTTCGCCCCGCTTCGCCCCGCTTCGCCCCGCTTCGCTCTTCATGGGTCCCCTCCTCGAGTTTTCCGCCTGATCTCCTCCCGTGCCGCTTTTGCTTCAAAAGCATCATCGCTCTCTTCCCAGGCATAGAGGCGCTTGTATGGGGGAAAAACCACGTGTTGTTGTTTTGTTAATAATAACGACAACACCGGCTGACGTCGGTGGCTGGAAGTAAATTTCTGATTTGTAACAGAAAGTGTAAGGGATGGAGTGCAGAAGTTGTCCCCAGGATTTTTGCATGCAGGAGTAATAACTTTACATTTGGCAGCCTGGTCTGGCTTCAGACACCTTTTCTTTATTAAAACAAACAAACAAACAAAAAACAACAACCGAAGCACCTTACGCTGAAAGGTGCAGTTTTGCTTTAGCAAAGAAAGAAAGAAAAATAGCTCTTCACAGAGTGGAGAACAGCGTTTCACTTCAGCCGTGTTCAAGTAACTGTTTTTTTAATTGTTTTTAATTTTTTTTAATTGTTCAAGTACCTACGACCACATCGTTCAGGATAGGAAAATGCTTTTCCTTTCCCAGTGAAGCAATGGAAAAAATTGTCTCGAGTCTGTTTATAGGTTCTTATTAATGCTGAGTGGATGCACTCTCATCGCATCCTCTTTCTAAAAAACCACTATGGTTTTGAACTCCAGGTCACAAAATGGATTCAGGCAAACCAGAGGATCAGAAAAAGCAGCAAAAAGAAAAGAAAGCAGGATGAAGTTGTTTTTCAGAAGGTAAGGGTTCACGTTGTGTGTTTGTGCAAATGGGCAAAGGGCAGCATAGTGGAAAGATTTTAAGATGATGCTTATAAATTATAAAGAGGTGTTCTTGGTTTCTCTGACAAGGTGATAGTAATTATTTCACTATGTAACTTCTGTGGAAATAAATTATTAGTAGAAAGAAATCATTAGTCTGCAGTTTCAGAGACAAAAGTTCTCTGGTTTTGTGTTAAAATTCAATGTTCTGCAGAATAAAGGTAAGAAGAGCGCTCTCATGAGAAGTATCAGTAGTACTTCAGAACAAGAGCTTATGGGACCTGCACCGTTATTTGTAAATCTTCAGATAGGTTTATCTGAGAGACAATCTGTGTTGGTGAGCAGTGGGACAGTAGAAGATATGATGCCTGCATTGAAAAAGGTGCTCTGATGATGCTTTTGGTTCTTCAGTCAAAGTGGTTTTCTAAGTCTTACAGATCATGTAGTTACACTATAATGGAATTCATGAGGGTGTCTTGGTGATTATTTTAGAAATTACTGCAGAGGACTTCTTAAACTGCACACAATCTAAACTAAACTGCATTAAACATGTGCCTTGCCTGTTGTAAATGAAAAACTTTTTTTTTTTTTTCCTATGATAGTCTTATAATACTGACTACTTAAATCACAAAGTAGGGAGGTAAATGATCAACTGGCACTTGTATTAAATAACCATTTTCTGTTCTCTTGAGGAAAAAAATGATTCTAATAGTTATCACTTATGAATAAAGATGCATTTCCAAATGCATTAACAGAATTTTGTGGGTTTATTTTTGCTCATGTTGACTTTAGAAACATATTTTTAATTATCATTTTTTAAAACATTACCTTTAAAGGATCAAAATAGCAGCATGTTGTTTTGCTGTTTCGACAGTGCTTCTAGAATGTATGATGAATCATTGCTGTTTCTGTAGCCAAATTCTTGCTGATAGCATGACTGCCAGCTCCTGGGATGTGTTGCCTTAGTATGGGCATTGCAGTATTTGACAAATGTCCACAAAGTGCATTGTTGTATGTGGGTGACTCAACAGCTCTATAGTGCATTTAAAAAACGCCACCAAATTACATGTCATTTAGAATAAGACGTTCTGTGTTGTCATACATTAGAATGATGTGATCTAAACAGAGATTGCATGAACTCACACCAAGTAATTCAATTTCTGTTCATTTTCAAGTATGTGAATGTTTATTTGCACATTTGCCATTTTTATTTGTTTGTTCTATGCTACCACTGATTTCTTAACAGTTCAAAACTACCAATATGTGAATTGTTGAGCAAAATGCACTGAAGATGGAAATAGCCCTAATACAAGCTGCAATTTCAAGTAGTTTTTAAATTACAAAGGATGAAGTAGGTCTGCTGTCACATTTTCAACATGGTCTTAAAAGTACTTTATACTGTCACAGCCTCTTCCTTTCTTATTACAGGAAAAAGCTTTCTCAGTGCAAAATCCATGTTTGCTGATAAAACTCAATCTGTATTTGAAAGGTTGTTCAGGTCCCACTGTTAGAAGATTTGAGAGACAGACTTCTAGTATGTAGACTAATCATATTAGAAATGCAAAAAAAAAAAATGTATTATACTATGAAATACCCAATTATCAAAAAACAATATTGTTGCAAGATCTGTGAATGTCAATATGAATTAAAATTAAAGGTAAGAATATACATTTTCTTCTAGTATGTGTAAGTATTAATAATTCTTTGAGATTCAATGCACAGTCACAGAACTGCATCTGCAGGTTGGTCAACCTCCTGGGAACAAAAGGGCACATCAGTGACCTTACATTGGATAATGAAATTATTGAGTAGGGGTGAGAATTTTTATGTTCTCTAGGATTTTGTTCATTGCAATGATGGCTTTTTCAGTGGAAACAGAGAAGAGGAAAAGGAGCGTGATTTTCTTGGCGCCGGCAGAGGTTTTTTGCAATACTAAAATTGAGACTTTGGTTACAACTTATCTTTCAGTACAGACTTACCAGCCAACGTAGGTGGTACCCAGTCAGTTTATATGTTCCACTAGTATTTTTTAACTTTGTCTGGGTACATATTGGCTTGTAGCGGAAACAGTGTTGCACAACAGATTAAGTACTTTGTGAGCAAATACTAAAGTGAACAAATTTGTAAAGAAAAAAGGATGGAGAAAGGACTGAAGAAAAGGAAAACAAAGATGAGATAAAAACATAAGATGAGGAGCAGAACAATAAGGAAACAGAAAAGTAAGAGCTGGTATCAGCTTGTATCACAAGTGCAATTACAGTAAGGTTACTGGCCTCTTCTGGTATAACTAGAAAACCAAGCTAATTTTCCTTATGCTTTCAGAACAAGCATGAACTTGCTAAAGCTTACCTTCAAAACTTTCATGTTCCTATTCTTTTTTAATGTTTTAATTTGAATCCACTACACCGAGAATCAAAGCAGGGACCAAATCTGAAATAAATATCTTGAACTTACATACAGTGCAGAACTTAACAACTAAAGAAAAAACCCTAGAGTGTTCTTCAGATAGTGTTTGTGTGAATCATTTTCAGAACCTTTTCGAATTTGGTTAGTTTTACAGAACTCTAGGAACCCTACAAATATGTAATTTCAGACTCTTAATGCTAAATATTTTCATCATTTAGCTGTAAACATTTATGGATTGTTTGGGAACTGTAACTATATGGCTCAAAACTTTAGGGTAACACTGCCCGAGAGTTAACTTGAAAAGCACTTGATAGCAGTTGTGCCTGTGTTTAAAAAAAATAAAAATAAAAATGTATGGAGTTTTTGTTGTCACCATAATAATAATAATTCAAAAAATTAGTCCGCTTCTGAATCCAGTATTAGCTGTATCTTATTTGCAGTACTGTTGTGATAGAATGTCCTTTGTCCTTTTTAATAATCCCTGCTGCTATTTGAAACTATTGTAGCATGCCGTGTTTCATAGCGCGCCTCCCTAATACATATTGTGATGCATGTTATTGCCACACTTCTAGAACAATGAAGCAACCTAATGATGCACCCATTCCATTTTCAGAGTCAGACATGACCATTTCAAAATTAGGAGAATTCAGACCAGCATGGCCATGTGCTAAAATAGTTTGAGGTTTATAGATAATGACATTACTACTAGTTACAGTACTTCAAACCACCTGCCATCCTTCTTCCATGCAGTGAAAGTTTAAGGCCACTTTAATCTAAGATATGAAGTTCATACAGGAAAGACAAAAAACACCTTCTAGCAGAAGGTTTATGTTTGTTCTGATTGGCAGGAAGAATTGGTTACACTCCTGTGATAGAACAATATTTGGCAATTGGCCTCATTGGAGGTATTTTAATGAGGCTGTCTTTGTGCATGTTATCACAAGATGAATTACAGAAACTTATGAAGTCTTTTTAGTCTACTGAACCCCTTTTTTTTGTGTATGTGTGTGGTTGCTATGTGTGCCTTTACACCCTAGCTCACAAGTACCTTTTGTCTTGAATAAAACAGGAAATGAAAAATGTGATAATAGATTTGTTCTTTCCAAAATAACAGAAAAACAGGATTTAACAGGATTTGATTGCTTTTAATATTTCTCAAATGTCTCATCCTCCATTGCTTAATAAATTCTGAGCAGTGATCAGTGAGTTTGGGAGTAAGGAAGAAAAGCGTTCATCTGGGGGCATTTGGAACTGGAGCAACTTTTTGCACTTGAAACTAGTACTTCATTAGCTACCTTCTACAGAATTTCCTAAAAAAATAAAATTAAAAAAAAAAAAAAAATTACTTGAGAATATACAGTTCTGGAGACAAGTGGTTCAAGTTCTCCATGTTACTGATTCTGAAGGCTCCAAAGGAGCTGTTAACAATCTTCCTGCTTGAACATGCTTTATTTCGGTATTACATTTGTTGCATTTTAGTCTTACATTTATTAAACTTATTTTTGACAATGTGTAATAATTTTTAATAATGATTCTTGGCAATCGATATCAGGCTGTCTTTAATCAGTTTAGATTATATTCAGGTATTGTATAGGAAAGGCATGTGTAGTTTTTCCTAAGTGTAGAATTTATCATTTGAATTTAAAGAAGTATGATCACAGAAGGCAAAGGCTAGAGCCTTTACAGAACTAATTAAAGATTTGGAAGTTCTCATTCTCCTTTTTGATAGCTGTAGTTCCTCAGTAGTGGCCACAGATTTACTCTTATAATACTGACCCTCCTGCTTGCCATCTACCTTCCAAGAAACTCTGGGAAATCAAAGGTAGCTCACTGTTAAATGCAAGTAAATGCTGTGTAGCTTTAATTGAACAGAGAGGATTAAATTCCTAAAATTTTGTATATATTACTGTGCTCTTTTTTCTTGTGTTACTTTTCTGGCAGGTACAAATAGAGTGACCTCTCACAACTGGCTAGTTCATATCTACAGATGGATGCATTGCTCACAGGTTTTGTACAACCTGTGGAAGCATTTAAAACCAGCTTACAGTATCTTGACATTTCATAAATATTTGTAGGATATTTACATATTTATTTTTTTCATAGTTTAGATTCAGGCATGATATCCAGTGGCAATTAATAAAGAAAGTGTAAGAAATCTTGTTGTTTTCCTGTATCATAACCATGTTCTAGTTGTTAATGAGCTCTCAAGAAAATCTTTTATGTTTCCTGAAAAATTTCTGATGGAAAAGAAACGTCTTTATACTTTCAATTTAGGCATCCACTGGTCACTTCCAGTGAATTTGTTAGTGAAATTCTAGATCTGCCATATTCCTGTGAGAGCCCTAATAAAGGCAAGGCAGAAGCATGAGCTCTATCACACAGAATCATAGAATGGCCAGGGTTGGAAGGGACCTCAAGGATCATGAATCTCCAACCCCCCTGCCACGTGCAGGCCCTCTAACCTGCACATTTTATACTAGACCAGGCTGCCCAGTGCCCCATCCAACCTGGCCTTGAACACCCCTAGAGAGGGGTTATCCACAACGTCTCCGGGCAGCCTGTTCCAGCACCTC